TTGTGATCAACAATTATCGGTGTAATTGACGTTTCTGTATCTAAGCAACTATTCTAAGTATTATTATCTCTGACCAAGCTTAGACTCACATGTACCGCAGGTGAAACGTAGACAGAAACATCTCAAACAAATGTATGTGGAGTTATCGGAACGTCAATAGAAACAAGGTTGACATGTTTTCAATAGCAGAGATTGTTTTTGCGTTTGAGTTTTGTAGTTATGAGTTTAGGTTGTTACGAATTAATTATTTCAGTAATAAAATTTCAGGTTACTATAGAGAATGTGTGGGAGACAGGGGAGCGTGCATTTCGAGATTTCAGAGTTTTCATAGAATTATTATCAGGTTGACGACCTGCTTCTATTATTGGACTATTGCCACACACTACGACTCAACTCAGTAATGCTGTTAACTTTATAATCTGAGTTTTAGATGAAGCAGACACTAACAATCCACATGCTGTCTATTGAGTCTAGTGATTTATGCGCGTCTCAGAAACTAACTATATTGCTTTTGATCTAAATGTTGCCTTCGACATTGTGGAGACAAGCGATATGGGCAATGAGGAAGTTATAGATACCAAAGTCTCATCGGCATGGGATTTGGCCCATTATCACTGTCAAGATAAAATAACGAGTTGTTCAATGTACAGCAGTCATGGAGATCAATCCGAACATTTTATAAAGGTCACATAGGTTTCATGTTCTGGATTTCCAAATGTGGCTACTATCGACTTATAATCATTTTATGCAATGTAATGTATCGATAACATAAAATTTGGATTTGCTACCAAAACAATTATCTCTGAAATAATATGAATAGCTTTTCATAAAATTTGAAGGCAAATAAAACATTACTAGATAATAACAACTCTAATGTACTGCCATATACAACCCCTTTTTAATACCATGCGTTTACTGAAATACGAGCTAGCGATGACGTATTCAGCAAAACTGAAGCTAATGCGCAGACATAGCCTAGTACAAGTTATCACACAACACGAATCGCTCGAAAACAGTAATTTGTACAGTTAGAATTGTATATGACTTTTCTTAAATCAATACATATGTCAATATCAAAGATTTTCTTTTAAATTATATCGTTATAACATGACCTCAGTATCTTCTGGAAACCCAGCTGTGATCCGGAAACCTTTGCAAGTTGAGAAATTTAATTAGATAATAACAAGCGGTATAGAAAGCATTATACGGATATTTTACAAGAAATCGAGTTTATAATATCAGTAAATAGCTTTTAGAATCAGAAATGTCTTTCCTAGCTCAATTTTTATTGCGTCATGGTTTAATCGGATGACCCTTAGTGAGCAATCTTTATTGACATTTTCATCAAATAATCTGTCTTCTGCATGCATCCTCGCTAGCTTGTTACTGAGGTATAATATTTTACATCAGGCAGAATGACAGACAAAGAGATAATTTTATGCAACAATAAGAATGGGGAAATTTTTAAATTGATGAATAATAAATCACAGCATTAATGAATAATACGTAATAGAATTAATGAATAATAAGTCATAGCTTTAATGAATAATTCATCATAGCATTAATGAATAATACGTAATAGCATTAATGAATAATACGTAATAACAATAATGAATAACAAGTCATAGCTTTAATGAATAATACATCATAGCATTAATAAATATTACGTAAAAACATTAATAAAGACATGATAACAATAATGAATAATACATCGTAGCATTAATGAATAATGCATCGTAGCATTAATTAATAATACGTAATAGCATTAATAAATACATCATAGTATCAATGTATAATGGGTCATAGCATTAGTAAATACATCATAGTATTAATGAATAATACATCATATCAACAATGAATAATACGTCATATCAATAATGAATAAAACGTCATATCAATAATGAATAATACGTGATAGCACTAGAATCATCATAACATTAATAAATAATACGTAATATCATTGATGAATAATACATAATAGCATTAATGAACAATGCGTAATATCATTGAATAACAAGTCACAGTTATCCCACAAAGTACTCCCCGTGAACATCAACATTTTTTGTCTGTCTGATTTATCAAATTAGGACATGCTAGTTTGAATGTACTGTTTGGTATATAATTCATTCACTGAAAATCTTTGCTTCTAACGCATGGTGTCTTTAAAATCGCCTGACATTTAGCTAATCTTTAATAACGGCATTTAGCCGAAGATCTCTTTGAATCAAATCAGTGCTCTATGGAGGCTGTGACAACATTTCGACTCTGTCCTAGTTAAAGAAGTCTGTTAAGATGGCTGCATTATGCGCTTTAACACGTAGATAGAATATTCGGTAACGTTCGATTTTATAAGTAGAAATGTCTAGTTAGACTGCCAGAGTCAGGCACATATTGCTCAGCGCCATGCATTTTGCTTGCTTTCTCCAATCCAACTATATTATTCTGACTCGTGTCGGCTTCATAGAAGGAATCCATGTTTACTAAACTGTGATAACGTTTCAGCTTACTCTTTTTAATTGTCACGGGTAGCTACTTGGCTGTTTGGTAGTCTTCCCCGACCACCCATAATCATCGAATAAATCCCTAAAATGTAATAAGGATCTGATAGATAAGAAAAAAATTTCACATACGCTAGATTTATTATAATAATAATTACCATCGACAGCTGAATATTACTTTATCTGATCATCCATTTTCATTCATTTTTGAGGGAAGAATTATACGTGGAAAGAAAAGGGTGAAGCCATACCTTCAATGAAGTAGTTAAGATAAATCTTTGCAAAATAGACCTTTAGCTTGTTTTCTGAAATAAGGATTCAAGACTAGGTAAAGAATTGGATTCATGAATGTGTTTAAAAGATACGATTGTTTGGTGAATAAACCTGCTAGCATGTTCATTCTTGTATTGGAAAAAGCCATTATTGTATAAACCAAAACTGGCAACCAGGAGATGATGAAGATAAATGAAATAAAAAATGACATTGTTGTTGTCCTAATGAGTCTCATTTTCTGTGCTGTAGATAAGGTTTTGATAGTTCTAGGCACTACATTTTCAAGACGGTTTATTTTTAACTCAGTCTTTGCAATCGATGGCGTACCTTTGATACATGGTGATATTATACGTGCTAATGTCATCGCATTCTTTTTAGAAAGGTCATGGCTATAACAGCAGTTTACGTTTTGTTCCTGATTGTTACTTTTGAACTTATTATGGTATGATTTAATTTCAGAAAAAGAAGCTTTGGTTACTTCTAAATGATGATGCGATGGGTCGCTTGAATAATCACGCACACACATTGCGTCTTTTTTTGTTAAGGAGGATGTTTGACCTGTTAACAATGCATGCGTCTTGGATGTCCCCGGCATGGATTCTGTTGGACTTGGTAGGAAAGACACTGTGACCCGTCTCACTATCCTTCTTGAACCTATAGTATGTTGCGCTATGTGCTTACCACTTTGAAACAATGTAAATGCCACTCTAATATAACAGAATGTCACGATTCCAAACATGATAATAAACATACCCATCGTAAAGAGAAAGAAAGCAGGTGCAATCCACGAAGGTTTTATGTATGGAACGCAACTTTTCTGAATTCCCATCCAGGAAAAGAAAACGTTTGGGATACATATGACAACAGAGGAAAGCGCTATTAGGTATACTATGCACTTACCTTGAAGATTCCAAGAAAACGAGCATTTTGGCCTACATATTTTAATGAAGCGCTCTATGGCTATAGCACAAATTAAGAAGGATTCAGAAAATGTAACAAACTGTCCCAGAAAATTTTGTGCTTTGCAGAGGGCATTCACGTCGGCTATATCCCACATTTTGGTCTGAATCGCGATATAGAGCGGGACATTGACTGACAGGCAAACGAGGTCGAAAGCAGCCATATAAAGTATATACCAGTCTGCATTTGTTTTCGGCTTGGTTTTTTGGAATATGGCTAACACGATGGAATTTCCTGGAAGACCAATTGCCATGCATGCTGAGAGATACAGAATGTATAGTGTAACGATGTAGTCGGGTGTATCAAACGGGATACTGACTTGCGTCTTATTTCTGCCTAAAGAATACGGCATCCAAAAAGTAGTATTTTCCTTGACGATCATCTGTTTATGGTTTGCATGACCTCACTAAGTGATTTCTTTTGGGTTCAGCACCCCTTCCATGAGGATGAGGATCAGAAGCCTGTTGAAGAAACATAACTGAGACAAATTATTTTGATGAAAGTCTCTAAACTAATTTATTGGCATGTTTTAGATATGATATTGTGGCTGGTTTGTAAGGATTTTAGTGCTTCGGTCACCTGAGTAAGACGTATTTAACTTCCCTCAACTTGATTTAAAACATTTTCCGTGCAGTCAAAAATGCGACCAGTGCGATTCAGCACAGTGGGGTGGGGGTAGGATGGGAAGAATACGACGAAACTTATGGGTTTCTCTACAAGTGCAATGTGTTAATATCGCAACCACTGATCAGTTCTATATGGTAATTTAGCACGCCAAAGACTACATGTGGATCAAGGATTCCATCTTGGAATATGCCCTGTCGCTGGTTTATGACTATTTTAAATGTATAATTGTAATAAAATTTGGACAATAAATTTTCTCTTGTTATTCATATCAATTTTTTTTTTAAAGTTTTGTTGTTATTGTTGTTAATCTGGGGCTTAACGCCATTTTTTCAGCACACGATAGACTACACATGACAGCCAATATTAATAGTGGAGGAAAAAACCGGAAAATTCGCGGAAAGAACCACTGATTCAAGACAAGCTAATGGCAAGCTTTCTCACATGTATACATTTGCCAAATCTTAGACTTGAACCCGCGCAGACAAAGGTGAGATGGCAGTAACAGAGAGCGCTTTAGACCACTGGGCTACTCGGTGGCTTTTTAAGTTTTGCAATGACCAAGTAATAATGATTTCTATCATCGATATTATATCTATGCATTATTCAATGCGCTTAAATCAGTTTTAATTACTTTATACATATGACCCTCCGGTGGCCTTATGGTTAGAGCGTCCGCCTCGGATGCATGAGGTCGTGTGTTCGATCCACAACCATGTCATACCAAAGATGTCTAAAAATGATACTAACAGCTGCCTTGCTTGGCGCTCAGCATTCAGAGGTTAGTGTTAGGACTGGTCGGCCTGTGTCAGGATAATGTGACAGCGGCATCATGCTACATGTCTGCGGAATGATGCATCTGTGCACATCGCTATAAACAGTCATTCTGTTGACATCGTACCGATATTATTGGAAAATGTTTAAAGCTACGTAAAAAAGATCCAAATAACACACACACACACAAACACACACACAAACACACACACACATTTTATACATATGTAGTTCATGCTGGACTATATTTATTTTAAGTAGTTTGCTTGTTGCTTTTTTCCATTAAATGAAACATTTCAACATTTGTTAAATTTGGCATATAAACCAACATGTTGCAGCTTTAGCTCTTTCATTACTAATATTAGTTAAAAAGGATAATTTACTATATTTCTGCTTCGAATGTAAAAGCAAACTCAGGAATAATATTAAAATTTTTCACTTTAATAAATTTGCCAAATGCATTTATGTTTGTGTGTGTTACTTAAAGATATTGTATTTTACCTGTATGCTGCATCCAAATAATGTATATTTTTATATCCTCCTAAAATCCTTTCTAACACTACCACTTTAAACGAGCAACTATCAATTTATAGTTTTACTGTGTCACTATATTTGATATTCAAATTATAAAAATGAATGTTGTACACCAATTATTTCTATTTTACATTGGTTTATTTCCAGAGTAGTACAAAACTTTTTTAAAATATTTTTAATGCTGAAAAATATGGTTAGCTGTAAAACGTTATCATTCACCCGTTTATTTAGTCCTGCGAAATCGAATAGCATATTTCTTACAGTTTCAATTGACTAGCCAAAACCAGTGTTTGTCATTAGTCGTCACCAATATAAGAAGACTTAGGCTCTTGGCGTTTGCTCGTCACAACAATCTATTGTGCTAGCCAACACATTCAAAGCATTTAGAAGATGAATATAGCACAGTGAAGATGGATAACATTACAACCAGATTGACTACAACCTGGTGAAGAAACGATTCTCCACAGGACTATATATCGCCAGAACATGACGTTTACGAGGTGCAGATATTGGAAGTGACCATGATTAAGTAATGACAACGTTTTGCCTCACCTGAAAATTATCAAAAAGCCTAACCAAGAATTAGTTTTGACCTTGAACTTTTTTGAAAGATATAAAAGTTGGAGAAGCCTTCCAAGCGATGATAGGTGGTCAATTTGCACCGTTGATAACCCTAGACAGAAAAGACTATGACATAGAGTCCCTAACAACCATATTCAACACAGCTGTAATTAGCACGGTTAGCGAGATCATAAGAAAATATCATCGAACAAAGAAACCTTGGGTCAATACAGATGTCCTTGAACATAGTGACAAAAGAAGACACATGTAAAAGGTAAAAAGTGATGATGAAGGAGCTAGAAAATACAGAGAGATAAACAACATGATCAGGAAAAGCATGAACAAAAGGCAAACGAATCCTGGATTGAAGGACAATACTGAAAATTCGAAGACAGTCTGAGTAGAAATTACAGCAAAATGACGTATCAACTGGTGAAAGATCTCACAACCCATAAAAAGGGAAATCTGCCACCATCCTACACAAGTCAGGAAAAATGCCTCACAAAAGATCAAGAGATCATCAAGCGATAGACAGATTACTGCTCCAAATTGTACAATCGTAAGACCCAAGGAGATCCAACAGTACTAAATTGCCATCAAACAGAAGAAATTGATGGCATCCCCATTTTTAGTGAAGACGTAGAAGTTGCAGTTAGGTCACTAAGAAAAAAAGTCATGCAGCATTGACAACATACAAGCAGAGGTCATTCAAGTCGGAGGAGAAGAGATAGTCACAGTCCTAGCAACAATCTGCAACATAATATGGCAGACATGAGAATTGCCCGCTACATGGATTCAATCCTTTGTCATCGTACTCCCCAAGAAAGGAAACCTACAGCTGCGTCAAAAACTACAGAACGATCAGATTGATCAGCATCAGAGGAAGAACAATCACCAACCTTGGCTCCGTAGATGATATTGATGGTTTAGCAGGAGATGAAAAAGAACTGGCTGACTTCGTTGAGCACCTCGACACAAACTCCACATAATACGGTATTGAGATTAGCGCCGAAAAAACACACTGATAAAAAACAATATCAATGGCATCAGTGCAGAAATAAATGTCAATGGATAGAAGCTGAAAGAGTCACAAGCTTAAAGTACTTGGGATCAATTATCAAAGATGATGTCTCCAAGCCAGAACTACTTTGCAGGATTGCACAGACAACAGCAGAAATAATTAGGTTGAGACCAATGTGGAAATATACCAGCATTGCTGTTGGTTCCAATAAGGCTGATGCGCTTGTCATATCTATCTTTCCGTATGCTTGTGAAATATGGACGCTCACATCAGATCTGCAAGGATCTGCAAACCTTCGAAAGGAGATGCTACCGCAAGGTTCTTTACATACATTGACCATGAAACCAACGAAGAAATCCACAACAGGATCCAACGAACCATCGGATCCCAGAAGACCTCTTGATTCCTGTTATAAAAGCATAAACTGAAGTGGAACGGTCATGTCTCAAGATCATCTCGACGGCAAAAAAAATCTTGCAAGGCACAGTGCGAGGGTGCGGAAAAGAGGCATACATAAAAATGTGGGAAGACAACATTAAGGACTGACAGGCATGGGATTTGGAGATTTACAAAGGAAAGTAGAGAATAGGGAAAGATGGATAGATTTGGTTGCAAAGTTAACCGTCGTGCCCCAACGACCTCTTGGGTTAAGGGATTGATGATGATGATGATGATGATGATGATGATGATGATGATGATGATGATGATGATGATGATGATGATTAAATAGTGATTAAACAAATATTTTAGCTGCTATTATTGGACCTCCTTAAACATCGCCTTGTTGACCTAAAGCTATTGCAAGTGATTAACCATTAAGAGCGAATTTGTTTTTAAATTATGAAATAAAGTTCCACTTCATTTAAGATGGATACGTGCTCTTTAATGGAAACTGCTTGGCTCGTTATAGCTCCCTTCATGTACACCAACTTTGACAGGAGTTCTGGGAGGCCAAGTGGTCTAAGGCACCCGTTGTTACAGATCACTCCCTTCTCACCTCTGTTCGCGTGAGTTTCGGTATCAGATTCGGCCACCATGGGTATGTGAAAAAGCCTGCTAGTAAGCTTTTGATGGGTTGCTTGTTCCTCAAAACCCGACTCAAACTTCTAACGTAAGGAATTATTCCTATCCTAAATTACAAATAAAGGAATCCTAATGTATCAAAATAATTCCATATTTTATGAAGTTAGGCAGTGCCCATTTTAGGAAACTAGTCTTTGATGACGTAAAGGCTCGTGATTAGTGTAAATCTGACAGTGCTGTAAACAGTCGTCAATGCAAATAACACACATCCTAGAGATATTATCCTGTTCGTGACATTGATGTGCATGGTCTTACACACGTGCGTTTTAGATTATGTCAGCGCGAGTCAATTATAACCCGTGTAGTTTGTTAATTCTTAAGTTGAGAGGTCTCCCTACCGGGAAAAAGCAGTGCGCGGGTATTTTCAAAAAATTTTGGAAAGCAATCTAACCTCCATGATAAACATGTACAATGACTAAATATTTCAGCGATGTTATAGCTGAACATGGCTAACGACGCTGTAAAGTTGCCCGCGATCAGTTGGAATTCTTAGAGACTACACTAATGTTAGAAACGGTGTAAAAGCTAAGATTCATATGGACATCTAAATAGATTGAAATAATTGAATGTGCTGATTTCCATATAATCTTGAATATGTTAATGCATCAATGGCCTGCGATGTGGTGACGTATTAACGGTCTTTCGACCTATCACAATAATATATAATCCAAATGTCCTTAACTGAATTAACCATAATTCCAAAGTAAAGATTTAGTCCAAGAAATAATACGAGCACAAAAAAGACTTTCAATACTACTAAACACTACCTCATGCGAATGACCAGCGTATCAACAAAATTTTGTCAGTTTTACACCTTAAATAACTATAAACTACAAGTCAGTAAAAACCCATATCATGTAAATACATTATCTGAGAACCTCAAATGGGAATCGCAGATTATCAAATCGACCCCAAAACCAAACACTACATTGGCATTTCTAAAATGAAAATCAGACATTTACTCAAACCGGCTGTCTAGCACTAATCAGATCCGTTTTAGAGCATGGTTTTGTGGTCAGCGATTCGTGATGCACTTAAGATGTTGACAGAATTGAGAAAGTCCAACGCCAGGCAGCAAAATTTGTATGTGTTGAATACAAAACAAGTGAGGCAAGATGCATCACCAAAATCTTAACGAACATAGCAGGATCTGTCTTACATGCCTCGACAAAGTAGTCAAGGGGTTAGTGCCGGCTCTCTCACCAAATATATTTTAAAATTCTGAGTAGTAGAGTAATGTAGAATGTAAACAATTGTGGACTGGGATCATCCCAGTGACAGTGTTTTGTGCGTGCAAACATAGAGCTTCAAGACAACCTTAAACAATACTACTATTTAGTGGCTCTTTCTATTCGGGTGCAATTTTATGCCGTAACTGGCTCTGAACTGAATACTTCAGAATCAGATTCAGAATCAAAATAATTATCGGATAATTGACCACGTGAGTGTTGAAGCAAATCATAACAGTGGGCAGTGGTAGTGAACATGACTAGTTTGATAATAGCGGTCTCTTTGGTTACTGATCAAGGATGAAGTTTTCTAGCCCAATGGCTAACTTTGTTAGAACGTGGTTATGTGCGTCTGATGTGAGAATAAAGACAAGGAGGCATGGGATCTGTGATCTATATCAGCATCAAAAATAAAATAAAGATTTAAATTATTCGCGCTTGCAAATTTTGCTGGACTAAATCTTTTATTCACCTGTTGTTGCAGTATTTTTGTCACTGCTGACATTGTCGCCGTTTACA